CAGCTTTTGCTGCCACAGGACAAAATAGCGCCGCATTCCTAAACGTTGCGGTGAACTTTCAAAGTTCTCACCCGTACGGAAGACCAAAACAATGCACGTCATGTGCGCTCCGAATTATTGATCGAGAAAGCGAATGTGCTGAGAAATAAACAATTTATCGCGGGGGTGCAAGGGGCGCGCGATGGCGGCCGTGCGGCGGACACCAAAGAAGTCAGTTGCGAAGGTGGTGTGAATAAATGTTACCTTTTTATTATTGATTATTGTAAAGAAATGTGTGGTTATCAATGGGAAGAGCTTAGGTGCGACATGAATTTCTCTAAGTATCGCCAATCGTACGTTATATTTAAGTGGCAGCAAAAGCTGCCAACCGTATCTTACGTAGTCAAAAATGGAGCAGTTACGTCCTTTTTGCTATGCCATTCGTAAGTGAACAACAATGTCTGGCTTTATGGCTCACAGTGTAATGCCCCAGTTCTTTGCCTTTCCAAAAATGGTCATTACCGGGGTTTCTGCTATTTATTCTTGTCTACAGAGCATTGCATACCAACACACTACCAGGCGTGTAATGTATTCCGCCATTGCTGAAGCAGGGACGTTGAACGGAGTGGTGCGGACAAGCTGTCATCAGAGGCGCCATCCCTCAAGGGGCGCGCCGTCGCCTAAGGGAAGGTGGTGCCGTGGCTCTATAGATGAACGGGAAGAGGGGCGCCTGCTAGGCCTGTTGGGGCGCCTTTGAGGCCTAACTATGGGGTCGCCCCCGCCCCCCGCCCCGCTCCCGCCCCCCATGCAAAAGAGGGGCGCCTACGAAGGTCATGGCCATAATGGCGCATCTGCACGAAAGAGGGGCGCCTGCATGCCGAAGAGGGGCGCCTATGAGGCCCAATGGGGCGCCTCTACGAGAAAGAGGGACACCTGTAAGGTCTATAGGGGTGCATGTAATGTCCATAGGGCACCTTTATGCGAAAGAGGGGCGCATTGCATATGAAAAAGAGGCGCATTGCACAAGAAAGATGGGCGCCTCTGAGACCTATAGGGGCGCCTTTGATGACCAAATGGGCGCTTACATGGGAAAGAGGGGTGCCTATAAAGCTTAAAGGGACGTCCTCCATGTGAAAAAGGGGCGCCTGGGACTTGAGCGCCCTTTCGAGCTGTCCGAGGTCGCCGGAAAGTTTGTATATGTCCAGCTCCTGCTGCACTATCCTCCAAAATAATTCGATTGGATTTAGGCCAGGACTGTTCCCTAGCCAAGTGTCCTTCCCCAGATATCGGACAGATGGTCCTGGCACCGCCTAGTTCCGGAAGATCGGTGAGATGGAGGTCCGTCCAGCATGAAAATACTATCCGACCTGCGGGACACCATGCGCCGTTGGAGCACGGGGTAGTGGTCTTTTAATGCCAAATGCACGCTTTTTCAGTATATTTTTCTAGATAGTAGTCGGGATCGACTTCGTCTTTTGCTAGATCACGTCCAGCTGGTTCAGCTCAGGCCCTGCTAGGACATCGTGATCGTTCGACATACCATTGCGGCGAGAATTTTCGCAGAAGTCTGTCGGAACTTGGGCCCATGCTCGTTTTGGGGGTCCGTGTGTTGAAACCATTGAAACGGAGACTCGTCGCCGAACTAGACCCGCTTCTACATACCTAACTCCGTTTCCACTCTTCTACCGGCCAGATTCTCCGTTTCGTGCAAATCTGAGGGCTCTGGGCTTGCTGATTTTCGTTATTTTGGCCGCACCAATAGTCAAGCGCCTTCAGTCCAAGGGCGTTCCTCCCTTATCAATGGACAACATTATCCGAGTGATCATTATGAATAACACTTCAGATTCTCCGCAGAATGGTCAGACTTCCCAGGTGCTTTCTTCATGACGATCTTGGGGACGGTTGAGACTCAGGAGGACCATGCTGATTGGGGCTTATGCGTGACGCTACTTGTCTCCCTAAACTTCTTCCACCAGCGCTTGTTGGTGAAAACGGGGGCTTTAGAAGTGTGAGGCAGCGTCCTTCCATGTGTTGCCACTTGCCAGCTTGGAGCATGCCAACAGCGCAACTACGAACCTCTCAACTGTAAAGCTAACCTTCATGCGTAGACGTTCAGTAAATGCGCCGTTCAATGGTTAAACAACCATGCCAGTGACCCCCATTGGTAAAGGTCAGCTTTTTAGATAATCTCCGCTTCAGAGAAAGACTCAGGGACACAATTCGTTGAAAGGAACGCGATATTTAGGAGCACATTGGAAACACGCCAAGTTGCTTTAAATAAACGGTCGACGGAAGTCATCAAAACCTTCGTCGCATCCTATATAAGATTTTGTGTGGAGGGGAAGCGCGTGTGAGCTGAAATAATGAGAGAAAGAACATGATATCTCAGAACGAGCTGAACTGTTAGCTGAGGTCTGGATTTTGAGCTCATTTTTCTTGAGAATTATTGGCTACGGTCGTTATTTGCAGGCTACGGTCGAATGGAAATCCGAACAATTACACATATTCAAGATCATATCTGGTACGTAAATAAAATAGTTCGTAAAAATTGTACAAGCACCAACAGGAGACACTCTGTGGCAAAGGTTGTTGGTATCGAAAGATCATTTCCTCGCGGTTTTGATATGCTTGTGCTTTGAAATGTGACAAACCACTCCATTTTTGACTATGTAAGATACGCTTGGCAGCAAAAGCTGCCAGACCGGAAACGTACACTTCCGGTTTCGTGATCTGGCTAAAAATGCACATGTATTCTCCTAAAGGGTGCCTGACAAACATATGTTAAAATCGCAGTGAAAGTCGACAAAAAAAGTTTTCGGCTCTAATGGGTTAATGGACATTGCACTTCCTTAGTTAATTCCTTTGTCCGGCTCAACATTTATGGACATCTGTTGGTTGATCGGGCAGAAGTACTACTCGCTTACAAGCGTCGACTAAGCCAAAGCCTGCCAATCTTGGGCCTAAGCTAGTTGCCTGACAACATTCGGGAACAGGGTGTTGGTAAAAATGATCGGATTATTAGCCAGAATTAGCCCCGGTGATAGGTCATTGACCTTAGCGGTATGACCTCAGCTTTTCTTCGGGAAACTCAGCTACGACGCTTGATTACAAACGCAGGTGACATTTCCTTCATAACGGCGTGGTAATACCGTGTCTGCGACGCCAATGGCAGAATAAGATCGAGGCATGCCTGCTTTTCCAGAATAATGCAGACCAAACGTCGATTGCAAAGTAATCTTAGGAGTTGCAGCACATGGAAGACCTCCAACGGAGCGGTACATTTCCCGATACAAAACCAGGGCCATGTTACAAAATCATGAGATGATTCGATTACGTGTTAACCGTATCACACCACACACCACATTGTTTCAACAAAATATAGTTATTTGTCATCAGTCGGTAAAGCCATTTGAGCCAAGTTTTTATTTGGATTCATATCGGTTGGTTTCGGTTTTCATTTATATCGAGCATTTCCATTCACATTGTTCACTTTCGGCTCGACATGGCACGGCACACATTACCGGACTGACCTTCACGTGCGAGGTCATCAGTGCGCCCTTACGGCCGAGCGGCCTGAACAGGCTGCGTTCGGTGAGCGGTCGATGGTCATCAGTTCGTCAGCGGCATAATAGGATCGGCACGCTGTCGTTAGTGTCGGGTCAACGGTCCCAGAATGGCCACCGATCGAAACACGATCTCTGGTCGCCTTTTTACTGATCACTGCTGGTGCCAACGACGTAGGCAATCAATAATGTGGGCTGTGGACACTGAGGATGATGCTAATTATTGTCGTGGACTTTCACACTAAATGCTGGATTGGGAAGGGCAGAATAGCAGTTGCAAAGTTGACAGAAAGCGCTCGTTATGAGGGTTTCAAGTGGATGCAATGGCAAATAGCGGGCAATTGTATATCAACTTATTACCGATTTTGAAACACTTTGCGATAGCCGTAGAATCATTTTAGTCAAAACAATATATGTACATTGACAGCAGGCATGTCTTTGTAAGCATATATCTGATAAAAAGTACCTACGAGTATCTTGATATTTATGCCTCCGTGTCCTTGCAGTCGTCTTATTGCCGCATTTACCCTCCCGGCCCATGATCGCATGGTGCATCATCTAAGGACAAGATTTTCTCTCAGCTTGAACTGAAATGCTCTGCGCTGTTCTTTGTTGAGGTGACATATTGGTTCAATGTTAAGCATTTATTTTCAGTTGGTGCTTGGCCACTTCAGAGCTGGTGCTCGATCACTGATGCTACCACTCATCCGATCGTTTTGTAGCGCTGTTATCGGTATTGCCAATAGTTCATCGAGTAAAATGGTTCGATTTGCAGCGCTAAATGAGCTGCGAGGAAACCATATAACTTGTTTTATAGCCACAGTTGGCATAAAACGACGCTCCGTGGCAGTGTTTAGTGTGCTTTCTTATGTTTTCGAGACAGGTAGTGAGGCTGTAAAATAGCACGCATCATGATGATTGGTGCACTTGCCGGAACGATTTGGAACAGACCGGAGGGCGTTTCCTAGAAAACGGATGGAGGTCACACAGATCACTTATTGCTGCTATTGGATGGCGAATATCGAGCGCCGTAAACTGTGCAGCAATTGATTTTTGAACTCAGCTACCGGATATACAATATACATGGCTCGATTTACGACGCTAAATGAGGTGCTAGTTGGTTCCTATTCATTACGTGGACTGCTTAGTGCTTACCCAGCGAGGTGTTTAACTTATGCCCACTTTGTCACATAAGCAAAGTAACAAATGCCGTAACAACAGGCAACGGAGGTTTCTCACATCATCTCCCAGTGAGACGTTAGTCGTTAAAACAGTCTGTATAACGAGAATATTGTTCACAAAATAGGTACGTGATGACCAAATATGCTTTCGGACATTTCGATTTTTAGCACAGCCAGTTATTTATTCAGAAGCTGCGAATGTACAATTAGGACTTCATGCCACATAAGCCACGCTTTCCAGTCGACACCAAACGGATCGACCGCACGCGGTACTTACCATGACACCAATCCCGTAATCCTCACGTGGTGCGTAGTCCTCACATAATCCCCTTCAGTCTACGAGTCCTCTGCACCAAACCAGCTGCCGTCCTCAGAAAACGACACCCCTTGTCTCACTGGGCGGCGCCCTGCACACGCACACGCACACGGCACGCACCTCGGCGCCCCGCTCCGGCCGCAGCCTCTTTGCCGACTGACCCGCCGTCACCGCTGCCAGCGCGCGCGGCCGGCCGGCCGGAGACGATCCGCGGCCCACCAGCTCCGCGGCCCATCGATCGAGGCTGGTGCGCCGCGCCGCCCGCCCCGCCCCTCTGCCGGCGCCGCCGCTCTCTGTCCTGCGCCGCCGCCTGCCCTGATCCGATGATCCCGCACGCTGTGTGGCGCCCGCGCGGATAAGTAGGGGTGTGGGGTGATGTGTGCTTACGCACATTACGTGCTTTCGTTTTTCATGGAGCTGCTCTGTTGTTTCACGACGTGGTGATATGCAATGTCGTACTTATTAGCGCCCTACTTAGAATAATCGTGCCGTGCTTGACCAATGAGGCTGAACTTAAGCGAATCCAGTTGTATGATCCAAATATAACCAAATAATGCATGTGGTTTCATGGTTTCTACCGGTAGTTCAAGGCAATTCTGTCTATATTCTCCTAGTCGTTGGCATTAAAGGGACTCTCCCACCTTCAAAAAAGTTAATGAATTGACATGAAAGTGATGTCGCTCGGTTCAGAAAAAGCAAAAATGAATATCTACCAAATTTCATCGAAAAATATTCACCGGTTTTCAAGATATTAGACTTTTACTTTTGTTTACTTTTTGGGATCTCCGCTGTTCCTAGCGACTTTATTTGAAAGTGCGGCATTTGTTGCGCGCAAAGCAGCATATACCACCGCGTGCTGTCAAACGTTTTAGTAAAAGATTTAAAAATCGTTAGATCTCCGCTGACGTCACAAATTCTAAGGGGGCATACCAATGCATTAGCCCCTTAGAATCCGAAAACTGCAAGTTTGAAATTCCATATCTCCGAATTAAAGCATTTTTCGATGTTGTGAATGCCCAAACCGGTATTTTCAGGCCATGGCCACCAATTTTGCTATCTCAACTCAAAACTAATGTTAAGGTGGGAGGGTCCCTTTAAAGGAGGGGTGCCACCTTTTGGACACAACGCAGTTTTTACAAGATTAGCCTCACATGAACCTAAAAACCGGCTTCACTTACCTATGCTCGAGACGGTCAGCATTGAATCCGCACGTGAAGTTATCAATTGCGAGTTTTGCTGCCAGCATTCGGGCAGGCAAAAATCTTCAGCACTATTTCCTCGTCGTGTTAACCCTCGCATGTGTGCGGCGTTTGCCAGCTTCTAATGTGTAGGGGGGGGGGTCGGTTGGACCCCCCCCTTGCCGTTTGGCCCCTGATCGAGCTAGAGCTTCGCGGAAAAAACGAGCGTGTTGCCCGTGACGAGAGGAAGCCGATGATACCCAATTTTAAGGTCCTAGGTCATTGGTTGACCTTCCAGGTCAGGTCAATGACCCAAAGTCGGGAAAATCGGGACCTGTTAGAAAGTCGTAAAGTGTGGCTGCTAAGGGGTTTTTCGGGGTGCTGATCACGAATATCGTGTTAGTTTTGATCACAGATGATGTCTTGAAGCATTTAGACCAGGTCGGGTCAGGTCAGGTCAGGTCAACCAGTAGGCGTCGTGACGGGTATTCGTAGTACGTGTCAACCGCCTCTGACAGCTTCGTAACATGTTACGAAGTCACCAAAACTACTTCGTAAATGTTCAAATGGTTGCTAAATTCGAATTCAGCTGCAAAAACTAGCCTAGAAACATGTAAAACTCGAAAAAGTGAACCGAGGTCACCCGAGGTCACCAAAGGTCAATGACCTGACCTGACCTTCAGGTGACCTTGACACACACGGGAGTAACATCAAATCACATGTTTGAACGTTTGAAACCACGAAAAGCTTGCAAACACGCGGCTAGTGCGAGCCGCCATACGCGAAATCGCGATTCCGGCCAAACATGGTCTCGGAAAAGAGGTCACAGGTCAAAGGTCATTTGGGTCAGGGTCATGAAATTTTCAGGGTAGGTGTAAAATTGATCAATGCGAGGGTACTGAAAGTTTCGTCGCGATCGGCCGCTTTTTACGCGAGTTATTCGCGAAAAACCATGGGGGGGGGTCCATCCGACCCCCCCCCCCCCCTACACATGCGAGGGTTAAGGGTATTTTATAAAACATGAAATCAGCAAAGGTATGTATAAAAGTTATACTTTTGAAGCATGTTTTATCATTTTGAAAGGGTATATTTTTTCTTTATGGTATACACTTAAGTTTTAAAATTTTAATTGGGAAGTTTTTCTAGTAAGTTGCATGAAGGGTGAAGGGTTCCATAGATGTAAAGGAAAAACCTTTACTCGACTTATTTGATGTTCTTTAACTGTTGGCAAATATGGCCAACAGTTACCTACTTGGTTACTTACAACTTAGTTCAAATCATGTTATCTTCTTCCTTTTTATTTGTTCATCTTTTTGTCTCAGTTGCGCCATCAATGCAAATGGCAGAATGATATGTTGCCATGACAACAGGATATGCCAGCCGTCCTAGCTGCCACATCAAACGACCTTGAGTTGTAGTGGTGATATAAACAACGATCTTTTTTTTTGGCCAATGTATTAAATGCAATGTTTCGGTTTTTTGTATATTGTGGACGCGCTAACCACGTCTAAAAATTCAAATAAGTAAAATAGATTCATAGAACAAAAATTTCGGAAGGTGGCACCCTTCCTTTAAGTGCTACAATTGAATGTATATCATGAAAATATATGCAAACCACAGCTTGAGCTAAATTACAACGTACAACTTACGAAGGTACAGTAACATATTTAGACGTATGGCGGAATGTGGTGAAATAACAGAATGTGGCGAGTTTCGTCTAGTGACCGTGTTCGTACTCCGTGATTTCCCTCACGGAAGTGTCGGCTGCCTGGACGGACACCTGAGAGGCTTCTGACAGGGCCTGGAGGTGGCTTCCAAAGCCGGCGTCCGAAGAAGCCCTCCTTTCCACGTGATGGTCCCAGACGCATTTACAAGCGACGTTTTGATCTTTTACCTAAAATGGCTTCCAATAAAGGCTGATACATATGTACACAAATGCTGCATATTCATCAGCCCGGCTAATTTGTGTTGGCAGGCAGTTGAGACGACAGGCCAAATATGGATAGCTCGTAACACGATCTGTTCGCGCTGATATATATGTAGGTTTAGATAAGCCACGACAGGTCAGTGGTATACGACTTACGATACTGAGGTGCTAGTGGCTTGCAACGTGCCATGCAAAACAGCGTTTGATCAAATGAAAGTTAAATTGTTTGACTTTACGGTCCCAATTCCTTGCACAGCTAAGTTCAAACGATAAATGTCGGAAGCTTATGTGCGTTAGGTATATAGTTCTAGACCCCGCCGTTCCTTTTTCCAGGCTTAGGACAACTTATAGTCCCTCTTCCACGCCTATAACCTCCTGATCCGCGCTAGATGGTTAGTTTTTTTTTTTTTTTTGACGAGGGTAGCTGCTGCTCAGAGGCAGGCCCATCATGTGATAGGGTGGGCTGACAGTTAGCAGGGCTGTTTGGGCTGTCCATGTGACGGGCTCCGCGGGGCTGAGCCCTGGGGCGCACCAGGGTGCCCGACCAGACCAATACCTCCTCCTCTTTATCTCTTGCATTCTTCCGGCTCTGAAGAAGTTTCGCTTGAGACCAAAAGGGAGAACTCTACAAAAAAACAATGTTTTAAATAATAAGCTTTATTTTGACAATGTAACTAGTACCCAAGTCTAACAGAAAATGCGGCAATGCTATTGTAATAAAGACACATATTTAGAAACAAATCAAGAACACCACAGGTTTTTACGTCACCATTGCAGAAGCAGTTTACCAACTTAAAAATGTCAAGTAATAAACCCAGCAATCAAAGCAAAATGGCGGCATCCTAGCTACACACACTTGTGACAGAAACCGAGCACACAAGTTTCCAGGATCTGTGTGCATCGTGGTGTGCTTATGAGCACTATTTCCTCCTACTGTCTGCCTGCACTTTACGATCTTATCCCTGCTTCACCCTTCCTGCATAATGATTGCAATGCCTGCACTTTTTCACCCAACTACCTGCCTGCGCTATTCCCGCCTACGGCACGAAGTTGGCCGGTCTGAGCAGCATCTGGGCTCGCTGGATGACTTCAAGACCGAGCTCTCCCGGCCACAGGAGCTCCCACTTGCCAGTCGACTCGTTCAGCACTCCGTTCAGGTTGGCCTGCTCCCCGCCCTCCTCGTAGCCCCACCAGCCCCCGAACGTGCACGGCAGCCCGCAGAAGCTGAATCCTTGGTGACCGGCCTCGGCCAGACCGTCGGTGGCGTTGCCGGATAGCTTGACGAAATCGTATCGGTTGTCCCGTGCGGAGACCAGCTTGAGGTCGTAGGTGGCCGTCGTGAAGCTGTCGCCCTTCCAGAGGTCCACCCGCAGGTGATGCTCCTCGCGCTTCACCAGCATTGCGATGGAATCCAGTCCCAACCAGTGCTCCCCCATTGTGTACCCGAAGCCTGCTCTGAAATCCTCCTCCGTCTTGTCGTATGTGGTGTTTTTACCTTCGCCACGCCTGTGTATCATGGTCCAGCCTCCACCATCAGTGTCCATGTCACAGATGACGCTGACCCGACTACCAGCCGCCTGCACTTGCCTGTATCCCGACCACGTTTCGCCCAGCTTCCTGATGGCGGCGCAGTCGGGCGCGCGGCCGCAAAAGCCGGCCGCCTCTCCGCTCTCCTCCCACCAGCAGACCTCAGAGATCTCCGGCGAGCCGCCTCGCTCGAACCAGGCGCCCTCCTCGGCCGGTGGCGGCGTCTGCGGCGGCGCCTCCAGCTTCCTCTGACTGGCCAGGCGGCAGGAGAACCTCCCGCTGCCGAGGAGCTGCGCTCCGGCCGCCTGGCAGCGCGTGTCCATCAGACACAGCGAGCGGCAGTCGCAGGTCGAGGCCGTCTCGGTTCGGCGGTACACAACCTCCTCAGCCGGCGGCCAGAGCGCAGACTCCACAGAGGTCAGAGATACGGCCCCCGGGGCGGTGTCGGACTCCAGACCGGCGGCGCAGGCACACAGGGAAGCCAGCAGCGCGGCGGCTATCGGACGGCACATGACGAGCCGAGAGTGATGGAGTGCTCCGGGAGAGGGAATTTAGAGGGACCGGCAGTTGCGGAGGGAAAGATGGACAATCGCGGAGAGGCGACACAGCGAAACGGTAGCAGTCCAAGAGGCTAGCGAGTCGCGGCAGACACAACTGCGAGCTGCTAGCAGACTGAGCTTATGTGCCCCAAATTGGTCAACTGCATTTTCCAGGGCGGGCCCCTGCACCCGGAATGCAATAATAAAATGGCGGAGCAATTGTTTGTAAGGGCCATAGCAATGTTCACCAATTGATGCTCATAACATTTGCATATCACATTCACTACACTATCGATTTTTCATTAAATTATCTGGTCTTTCATAGATTATGATTCAGTAATGTTAACGCGAAGCTTGCACCAATGAACGTTTGAAAATCTACTTATCAAATAAATGTTCCGTTCCCCGTTCTTATGTGATATGATGGGACCCTTCTTTGTGATACCTATCAGCTATTCACGTGCGACAATGAAAATATGAATCACTTTAATGTCCTCAGGGTGAAGCGGAAGGGGGTTTATTTCTTTTATTACTTTCCCCAGAAAGTTTTCTTGTTCTTCGCGAACGTTCTGAAAAGACTGGGTACTTGGTTCTAAAAAAACATCACCGTGCTTGGCGCGTCTAATGAGTAGGTAAGTCTCTTCTGCGGTGATTGTTAAACTTAACCCTCGCCCGTAAACGGCGATCTGCCACCTTCGCCCATGCAGGGGGGGGGTTGGTGCGACCCCCCCCTTGGCGTTTGAAAACGGAGCGTCGTAGAGCTTAGCGGAAAAGACCAACGGATTGCTCTCGCCGAGATCTCGCGATTGGTGGTATATTTTTTGGTCCTAGGTCAACATTTGACCTACTTTTGACCGGTCAAAGGTCAAATTTTCGGAAAAATAGACTTTTTCAAAATTTCCGCGGCGATTGCGGCAAAACGGTGGGAGATATCGACTTAAAACCTTCACTATCGTGTTCCTTGATCAATTCTCTATCGTTTGGTATGTATTTCGTTTCCCTAGCTCTAAAAATGGTGCATTGGGAGCGCCGGAAGTCGGCAAGGTCACAGTCGGCGGCAGAAATTCGAAAAATCAAAATTTAAAATTTTGAAATCTGATTGTATTTTTGGATTTGGGATGTCCATGTGCTCCCTATAGAAGCTAATATTGCTGCATATTCCCATTGAGGTGTCAAGAATTAGCAAAATAGTGGTTCGGGCGCTTTTCAAAAATAGTACCGGACGCTGTTCCTCTTGTGACGTCATAGCTCCGTGACCTGACCTGACCCGGTCAAGTTTCTTATACCATATGATAGCCAATACTTGCCCCAACATGCATGGGAAGTTTCATCACGATCCATCAACCGATGTCCGTACCACCGGCAGGAAACCTCGGGCGTTGGCACTCAGTTTGTGAAAATCCGGCCGGAGGCTGTTCCCTTTGTGACGTCATAACTCCGTGACCTGACATGACCCGGTCAAATTTTTTTTATCAAAAGATGCGCAAGGCTTGCCCCATAAGGTGCCCAAAATTTGGCGGCGCTGCGCGCCGCCGTTTTTGCACTATTTCTGAAAAACCTCAGGGGGGGGTTGCACCAACCCCCCCCCTACATGGGCGAGGGTTAAAACCGATGTCCAACATTAGCTCAATTGTAACAATTCTCAATGATAACGATTCTGCAAACTGTTTTCGGTGGTGTGAGCAACTGGTAAATTTTTATCGTCTAATAATTCTCGCCATGCTCGACTAAACTTTTCAATACATAACTGATATGCCTGAAATACACGCAACTGTCGTTTAGAACTCTCGGTGCAGTCACATTAGACCATTCCTCGTCATTTAGCCTGATAAACTTGCACTGACATTTCAAGGTGTATTCACATCGGAGATATATACGACGATAAATTAGACACGTTAGGCTCACAATGCATCGGCACACATGACTGCGTGACTCCGAAAACAGCCGTGGTCATACACAACACATAACAACGACCACAGTTTCATACAGCTTGCTGCACATAACTCGCCCAGAGTTTCAGTCCTTCATTCACACATGCTCGCTCATTGCAAAATAGCGGCTAGAGTATCAGCACTGAGCTCACTCACAATACCTCTTTGGATAACTCGGTATCCCACGAAACACCTACCTCACTTGTCACACAAACTCACATCATTGCTGCATCACATGGCATTGCTATCAGCGGCCCATCTCACCGCCCGGACATCACATGACGTCAGCAGTGACGCTGACAACGTCCGAGACTCCGAGCGTCCTGTCCGTCAGGTCACTGCCCGAGGTGTCAGTCTGGATTCACATCACCGAGTTCAGAGGGGCGCCCTCTCACAACCCGAACCGACCGCTCGAACAGCGTTGATTACCCGCGCGTTGGAACAGAGCACCGCTGCTCGCGGCCCGGCCGGCGGACGGAGGTCGCCGCCGCTGGGTGACCTCAGGTCAATGGGGACCTCGGGTCAGTGGTGACCTCGGGTGGCCGCTGTGGGCTGCCGCCAACCGCGGGCAGACTCCTGCTGACCGGGATCGTGAATGTCGTAATACACGACGTTTGGGTCCTGAAAACAATAACAGAGCAGTGTCAAATAATGATAAGACTGGAGGCCAATGATATGATTATGAAACAAGCGTTTTAATGTCGATAAAGACATGTCATCAAACCAACAGTTTTTGACGGGCAATGGACCATTGAATGTTGCAAGGGCATGCACTGGCTGGTCATTTCCCAACATGCAATCAGGCAGTATGTTGTCTGTTTGGTTCAGATACATATGGTGCTTAAAATGTGCATACGGCACATCAGACGGACATTGAATGACCCGTAAATACATGTGCATATACCTACATAATGATAATTCGAGTTGATGTGCAACGGTGGCATGGCTCTACAACAGCATTACATGTATCAGCGCCAGTAGCTGCATGATGATCATAGAACACGATAACACAAAGAGTGCCTTCTGTGATTTGTCGCTAGCTAACTCCCTGCATTTCAGTCTGCGTCTGTGTCCGTCAAGTCAGGCGTCAGCTGTCACCATATAAAATCGATCCCAAAAGACACTTCTATGAACTCGCCACTACCCACGGCCCATCCGTCTGTGTCAAACCGGTGACAACTTTATAGGCGGGTCCGTTCTGAGGCTGTCACCGCCCGTGCCACGCCCGGCGACTCTATTAGAGCGGCTTTGTCACGGATCGCTCGGTGTGCCATCGGCATCATTAGTCGTCATTTGGATGCCCCCCGGGTGGCCAGATGGGACGCGCGCCGCCATAATGTCGGCGGGGAGGCGCCAGAGAGGTCGGTTGTTGCAGGCCGCTGTTCCTATGCCGTGGGACAGGCGACGCCCTCCCTTTGTTTGAAGGCGCTGTCGGATGGCGTTTGATCCATGCAAATGGGTTCGTTATAGAAGCAACTTTTGGGGTAAGTTTGACAGAGCATTGTATTTCGACATTAGGGTACAGCCAAATTTAAAACTGTGACTTCATTAGTTCCTGTCATCCGCTAGGTAATTCGTGTGCTGTTTATGATGATAAATGCTCAGAATGGGATTATCTACGGTTTTTCCCTCATACGGTACAGTCGCCTTCAGTTTTATTCAGACTCGTGTTCTAGGAAATAATTCAGACGAAAATAACCAGTATCTTGGGAGGCTCGAGTCTGGCTCAGCCTTTGGGTCAATGAATAAGTAATCCGTTCAAAGCGTCTCGACTACAGAAGGCTGTTCTGGGATGCGATTTTCGTCTAAATGGAATCATGGTGAACACGAAATGACATTGCTGAACCACGGACACAAGCGTCTATAAAAAACAAAGATGCATTTTATATGACTGAAATGATACATGCATCGATCAGACAGGATATTTTTAGGTTTGGATGGCTTAAGGTTTAAAAGCTTTAGTAGGTAAAGTGGTTAGTTTTTTTATGAAAATCTTCATTAAAATGTTACCGGTCATCACTAATGTAGCCTATACAATGGATGTATTTAATGGTTGTATGTATGTTAATGGATGTATATTAATCCATTAATGTATTTAATGGATAACTCGGGATAGGTATGTTGTCTGTATTATGAGGCATTGACAACCAGACAACTATCCACTCTCTGCGTACCTCTATATCTCTAGAACGCCATTCGCCAGCTGTTGCTCTTCTCAAAGAGCTTGTCGTCCCGCTTGGGGTCGAAGGTGAGGAGCTGGGTGGCGCCCGAGCCGCCGGTCAGGTGCGGCGACAGCGTCTCGTATATGCTGTCCCGGGACGAGGAGCGTCTGTGACGCGGTCGGCCCGAGCTGTACACCAGCTGCTGCTGAGAGCCACCGCCAGCGCCCTGCAGTGGGAAGTCGTGTGCCGATAGCGTCGAGTAGTCGTACTGCAATCGTCACACGTCACTCGTCAGGGGCGTCCGTGCACGGGGCGGAACCGTCACGGGAGGTGCGTGGGTGTCGGGAGGTCACTAGTCAGGGAAGCAGTGGTAGGAACGTGCATAGAAGCAGTGCAAGATGAGCATACCCGACGGGGTGCAAAACTATAACCATTGGCGTTTATTGAATACTGGGCATTACGAGCATCTACATACAATTAGTTATCTGTAAACTTGGTTTTATTTAACGTGCCACAATCAATGCCTTATTAATGCCAAGAGAGTATCTTACTTTGAGGTAGGAATAGGAAAATCATGTCAGCCAATTTGGGAGAGGGGATAATTTGGACCTAAAACGGTATCCACACTCAGCTGATGACTAGGAAAAGCAGACAAACCTGGCGTTTAGCGTAAATGAGGGACAATGGTAGTTTTATTTCCAGTCTGGTGTATTGGTATGACTCCCTCATGCCTGCAGGAAGCCAGTCTGCTACTCTATTCTATACTACGCTATTCTAGCTATTCTACAGAATTCAATTCAGTGACATGCCGTTTATCTACAATCTACACAGAGTGGACATTCGATTTATGGATAGTCGGACCAGTGAGTAGCAACTACCG